TGTGTGTGTGTGTGTGTGTGTGTGTGTGTGTGTGTGTGTGTGTGTGTTAGCGTGTGCGGGCATATCTGCTGGCGGTAGGAGCCTCCATAGCGATGTAAAGGGCAGCACCCAGCCATGATGAACTATGAAATCAGCCGCTGGGGTCTGGGCTGATTTGAGATCAGCTGGAGTGTTGTCAGATAGTAACACGCTGGAGAAGCACAGCCACTAACTGCAGGGGCATTTATCGCCCTCTCGGGGTTTGTGTGATTGCAGGTTCACAGGTGTGTTTTTGCGCACTTGAGTGCTGCTGGAAGCTGTGAAGGCACCATTGATGGTTTTAATGTTCGGCTTCTGCTGGTATGAGCTCGATAAGCAGATGAAAGTAATGATAGTAGTATAGATTAAAAGAATGGAAAAGGTATTAGTTGATTAGTTGTTACATTTTCTAACAAAATTCTTAGATGATGTAGAAGAAAAACCTTTGTTTGCCACAAGAAGAAATCCTATTTACGTTGACCCCAGAGGAAGAGGATGCTGTTGTTTGTTTTGGAGAGCTCACCTGTCATCATTTCTATCATTGTAAAAGTCTTCTATTCGTCAGCCATTCACTCCCCCCCCCCCACCCTCCCAATGCTTTGTGGCTCCTCTTCCATTATTTTCATTCTCCTGCAACCTCCGTCTTTGATATGCTGCGTTGTTTCAAACACATTCTATAGATCCCTCCTTATCTTAATCCCTTTATTATTTATCATTCTCTCTTTCATCAGTCCTGACCCTCACTCCTATGCATCCTCACCCCCCCCCCCCTCCTATCTTTCTCATACTTGGGTGCTTGTCCCGTTTTTGCCCCTATCGCTCACACTCTCTCCCCACCACTGCTACACGATCTCTCCTCCCATCCCTGTTTTCCTAGTGTGTCTGGCTAGAAAAGCTTTTGTGGATAATTGATTGGTAGAAGGAAGCGATAGATGCTGTATGCTTTGACTGGGAGATCTCTCATTTCCTCCCTGCCTCTCTATCTCACCCTCTTTTTCTGCCACTCCTTATCTCCTTCACTCCCTCTGGATTGCTCTTTGTCTCCCTGAATCTCCACCAAAGTGTGAACGAAAAGGGAATTTCAAGGGCGGGAGTTGGAACCTTATCTTTCTATAAACTGGGGAAAAAAATTAAGTAAAATTAAGTGAACTTTCATTCCCACCAGCTATTCGTGTGCCTTTCACTGTTGTGTTTTCCATTTCTGAGAACATGGCTGTATTGCGAAAATACTTAAGAGGTTAAGCCTTCTGCAAACCACCACCGCTACTCAATTCAGGGAGTATTTAGTCAGTCTCATATGTGTGATATGATATGCAAAATAAGAACCGACGCTGGGCCGTAGAAGACGCGCTTTCTGCTGCTGAACTTAAAATATTTTGAAGGGTCGACAGTTTTTAAACTTCTATTGTGCTTTATTCTTTCGCATAAAATGAAATTATGCAGCATGAGACTACAGTACATATTAGCTTAGTCGGTGGTTGTCAGCTCAACAAAAAGATCTCAGAATTAATTAAAAAGGCCTTCAAGAGCGAAGAAAAATCAATGCGGGAGATTTTAGCTCGCTGTTAAAACTTTGAAACCGTTGACGATATTAGATTATTAGAGTATAACGGGATGTATTATTGCTGGAAACACTAATAATAATAAAATCCAACAGGCCTCTTTAACAAGTATTTAACAACCAGTACTCCACTACTGCGGGTGTGAGCCATTAAAATTATTGAAAAATACATATTTAATCAAGAGGCGAGAGAAACGGGAAGGCAGCATTTGTATGAAAAGTAGCAGACTGTTGGATTCCCGCTCTTTTGTCTTGTATCGTTATAGTGATGAATGGAGAGCTCTTGTTAAGTCACCTTTTTAAATGCATCTTTTAATTTGCTGCAGTATTATTTATTGCAGCCACGTAAATGTTTTTGTTGTCTGAACTATTAGATGGTTGTCTGTAACCCTCTTAATGTGCCGGTAGTCTCCTTATGCGTGTGTCGGATAAAACGGTGCCACGTATTTTACTCCTGATTTATCCAGACATTAAATATCAGACGCAGTCTCTTCTGCTTCATTGGTCTTTGGGTATATTTCACAGCTCTAAATAGAAATGCACTTTTAAGTAAATATTACAAGAGCTCAAACACGCTAATTTCAGTGTTACTACTTTACCTCAATTTTCTGCCACGTAATAAATATGGACACAATTTGACTGCGTAGTGTCTAAAGAAAGGCGGCACATCCTGAGTAATTATCCTCCTGAGGATGAAGCTGGTATTTTGGCATCTGCAGTTCCTCAAGTCATTTTAAAGTATGTGTGGCTACAAAGGTCGCCTCAGGTTGTCACAGTGCACCAGTGGGCTCTTGGCAGACCTGTAGGAGTGCTTTATGGGTTTAATAAATAGAGCTAATAGTGTGTCTAGATGGAAGAGGACACAGGGAGAGGCCATTAGAGCAGTTCTACTTTTTTAGGCCTTCAGAGTGCATCTATAAGCAGCATAGTGATACATCAAGTAGTTATTGGTGGTGATTGACCAGCGACTATAAATATTTCATATTTGCAAATTAGACTCATGAAAAGAACACTGTGATAATGACATTCCTCTCTCTCTCTCTACTAGGGTTGAGCACAGAAGGCCTCTACAGGGTCAGCGGGAACAAGGCAGAGATGGAGAGCATGCAGCGGCAATTTGACCAAGGTACGTTACTTTCAACCTACAGTACAAGTGTACACCTGCTCATCCTCGCTTCAGCTGTGGCGAAAAGGCCACAAAGACGTGCGTATGTATGGCTGCTTCTATCTATAACAAACCTCGGCCCCCTTCATTAACCGGGGAGCATTAATTCTACAGAGCGAATTGGCCTTCACTTCCTTTTAGACTGCGGCGCTGCCTCCTCTATCTTGTACCTGCTCCTGCGTGCGTGCACATTTTCACACGTGTGCATGTCGTGTGCGACTCCATGCGTGTGTCTATCTGCTGTGGGCAGTTAATTACCTCCAGATTGGTTTGGTTAATGAAGCGTGTCGCTGCCGAGATAGATAGCAGAGCAACATGGCCTGTGTATGAGTGAGTGTGTGTGTGTGTGTGTGTGTGTACACGTGCGTCCACGCCAGGTTGAGCCTAAAATCCAACTCGGGTAATCAGAGTTGAAGCCCTGCGTTGAATCATTCTGAGCCTCCGGCCGATGGGACCAGACATTCCAGGTGAAACTACAGCGAAGGTGTCTCATAGCCATACTGAAGATGGCACTTCAACAGCCCCGTGAAGATTCAGATATCTCATTACAGGACAAAGCGGCATCAGGAGCCGCGCACTTTGGGAACTCTCAAAATGGGATCTCTCCTCGGACTGTTCAAGAACTCACTAACCGTATCTCTATTACTTTTTTCAGCCTCTCATCTTTCTACACACACTACCTTTTGTAAAGTAGAAAGTTATCAGAAAATTACTTTTTTTTAATTAAGTCTCTTGTGCACACACACACACACACACACACACACACACACACACACACACACACGCTTGAGGGCCTCTTTAGTGGTGTTGCTGCCTGACCGGTCTCTCTCGGCTTAAATCTACTTCATGAGAGTCTGCGGTTCACTCTCTCTATTAAACTAAAGGATCATATGGTATCACCAAAGATGCTGTATGCTTTCTATTCATATTGATTAAATGTTGAATTGAACAGACCAGGCTTGTCTACAAGTTGTGTGCGCAATCAAAAACAACCACAAACGGTGAATAATTCCGTAAGTAGGCTTTATGGATAAAACCCTGAAACGCAACCAGACCGAAATGTCAGTTTTTGATCCAGAAAATGCAATAACCGACTAAATGACATTCATGCAAAACTCATATAAAAGTCTATTATTTCCATAAAACACTCCTGTTCATTGATTTGTCAAGCCACCATGCTGTCTTAATAATAATAAAATTGTTATTATTATCGTTATTATTGAAGCCACCTCTCTTATTTACTGTATGCATGTACAATTATGATATGTGTATATATACAGTGTGTGTGTTTTGTACTTTAAATGTCTTCTCTCCATTTCAACCCTTTTTCCAGACCACAACCTGGACCTGGTGGAGAAGGACTTCACCATGAACACAGTAGCCGGAGCCATGAAGGCCTTCTTCTCCGAGCTGCCTGAGCCTCTGGTGCCCTACAACATGCAGGGAGAGCTGGTGGAGGCCTTCAGTAAGTCCTTCGGCTCTGCTTTAAGGGGACTTGGGGGCTCAGGGGGATGCGGGGCAGAGTTCTGCACGAAAACCTGAAGTGTATTGGATTTGACCTTAAATCCTTTTCTGTAACTTTTCTTTAACCTAACCAGCAAAACTCTTGCAATCCAAAACCATCCATGAGAATTGGATTTGCCACTCCGTGAGGAAATGGGGAACGGAGGAGAGAATATTTAAGGCTTGTGTGAGGAGAATTTTGGGATGATTGCACATGTTGAAGGGATAGCGGGGTCCGGATGAAGTCATGAGAAAACGGTCATATGTGAGATAAACGAGGGTGCTCCTGAGCTCTCCACAGCCTCTCTTTTTCTCTTTGTGTCCTGTAATCTGTTGGAATGGAGATTTAAGGCGTAGCTTAGTCTTGCGTCGCGCCACAGAGATTTACACCCGGGCCGCAAGGCTGCTGTCACTCACTGAGCTCTGTGTGTGTGTGTATGTGTGTGTGTGTGTGTGTTTTTTTTTACGGCCATGGCGAGCTTCTTCAGCCGTGACAGAGACCTGATAAAGCTCCTGCAGTCTGTGCCGCAGTAGAGGAAAAGAAGAGAGAGAGTGAAAACAAGTTTAGAGATGAGAAAGACTTCATTCGGTTGAAAATTGCAAATTGTGCCGGGCGTTTTCTTACTGTCAGGAGTGAGAGGGGGAGAAAAAGAAGGGGTGCGGAAAAAGCTGGGCGGGTGGATTTTTAGTGCACATGGTCATGGTGACGTTACTTAAGTTTTGAGGACCGATGATGGACGTACAGCAGGAGGAGCTGGGGCTGTGTTAAGTCATTGGGCATGAAATGTGTTTTTGATCCACACTGACCTCATTGTGGGAATACAAACCCAAATTCTCTGATTGTAAATCATGTTTTTCGAAGTGTACGAGAACATCTGCTGTTCCCACTGCGGCTCTCTGCCTCGCTCACATACACACAGGATGGACTGTGTTAGCCGGTGACGTCAGCTTTTCTGACTCACTCCTCCTCGCTGCCATCAGGCTTAACACACCCAGTTTGTGTGTGTGAGTTGCTATAATCTATGACATTGTGATGGGTGTACTTTTCTCTTCTGGAATGTGTGTGTGTGGTCTTTGTCTGGTGAACATTTTTTTTTTGTACTGTAACTGTAGTCCTTTTTGAATGTGTGTCTTTTCATGACTTAAATGTGTGAAACTCGTACTGCTGTGTTCTGCACGTATTTTTTGAGAGCCGTTGTACTGCCCCCTCCCCCGCCCCCCAGCCCCCCTCATCTTAACTCTCACTGACCCGACATCTTTGCCATAGATTCCCTTAATCATTCCTTTCAGCCGCTTTCCTCCCTCCTCTAACCTCTATCGTCTCTCTCTCTGCCACCATTCAGAGATCAATGATAGGGAGCAGCGCTTCCAGACGATGAAGGACATCCTGCGCCGCTTCCCCAAAGAGAATTACGAGGTCTTCAAATATGTCGCCAGCCACTTGAACAAGTGAGTGAGTGACGGGGTCAGAGTCTGCCTCTGACAGCCGTGCTGACTAACCCTGCCGGTCATCCAGTCAAGTGACCTAGCAGTGGCATCACCGAAAGTAGCTTACTGACAGAATAGAGGTCGCTTTACTCGGGTTGAGTCTTTATCTGTGTTATTGCAGCGTTATCTCTGTGTGTGTTGATGAATACTCTGCTCCATAAATGCTAGGAAAACTTTGTCGTCAAACTGTTTACATCAGTGGTTCCCAACCAGTGGGTCAGGACCCCCAAGAGGTCCCAAGAAAAATGGCACACAAAAATATAAAATACTTTTACCTCCTTCAAATTAAGCTATTTAGGAATAATAATATGTGATTGAACTGTGGGGATTTGAGGCCAATTCATTTCTCTTTTTGGTGTCTTTGTGTTGCGCAGGGTGAACCAGAACAACAAGTTGAACCTAATGACCAGTGAGAACCTGTCCATCTGTTTCTGGCCCACACTGATGAGACCAGACTTTACCACTATGGACGCCCTGACTGCCACCCGCACCTACCAGACAATCATCGAGAGCTTCATCCACCAGTGCTTCTTCTTCTTCTACAATCAGCCGCTGGCCGACGGCCTCCCCGGCTCCCCCACCTCTTCGCTCTCCTCCGGGGGAGGAACTTCGGCCTACTCCTGCATGGCTGGAGGCTACCAAGCCTCGCCGACTCCGTCCCCGACTCCCTATGTCCTCCCAGCCACCCCTCCAGTCATTCCACACTACGGCCCTCCTATCCACCACCACCACCACCTCCACCACCTCCATCAACATCAGTCCCCACCCCACTCCCCACCTCCTACTCCCCAGTCCCCCATCCCAGCCCTGCTGCCGCCCTCCCTACACCCCCATCACCCCCCTACGGAACAACACACGCTGTGAACCAGGGATCAAGGGAAAGAGGGGGAAAAAAACGAAGAAGACGGCTAACGAGATTCAGAGAGATTTAAGGGTTTAGAATAAGAGATTTGGAAGTTTGGGAAGGAATTGAAGAAGACAAATTTAAATGGGAACCAGAGGTAGGAAGACAAGTTGGGAGAGATTGAGTGAGATGCAGTATGTACAGGGAGAAACCTACGTGTTTGGGAGAAGAAGGGAGCGTTTGAGCCTCTGCTAATTTTAGAAAAATGGACACACACACACAAGGCAGAAAAGGGGAACACTGAAGAGCCTCTGAACTGGCAGTATGATCTTTCTACCCCCCCCGCCACTTCATCCCTTTGTCTCTGTGTCACTTCACCTAGACCTGCCCTCCTTGCCTTATAGAGAACCTACACACAAACACACCGAGTGCGATGTTGCCAGTAACTGTTAAAGGGACTCAGGGAGGGACTCAGAAGTAAAGTGGAAAGGGGAATGTGAACTCTGCTATGTTGGGATTGCTTCAACACACACACACAAACACCCAGTGGCCAGTGTGCCTCCGACAACCATTCTCCTCAATCCCTAAGCCTCTAGCTGTCCTAGGAGTTTTTGTGGCCAGCGCACGTTTTTTTGCAATCCGCCCACACACTGTACCTACCTGGGAGGCTGTGGCTGGGACGAGGTGTAGCAGAGAGCGAGTCCTTAACACATGTTTGTTTATTTGGCCACTGTACAGAGGACTTAGGCAAGAAACACGTGTTACTGCTCACCCGACAGGATGTTCTGTCCTCTGCGGCGCACACACACATTCTTATCTATCAACCCCTCACACAGTTACACAAACACGCACACAGACAAAATCAGTTGCAGTTGAGGCAATATGCCAAGCACAGGAAAAAAATCTCAACAGACCGGATCGACTAGGCAGCAAATTGGAGCAAAGGATTATGGGAACTCAAACACCCTTTGCATTCTGGGAAGGCTCCTCCCAGTCTCCTCTTTGGTTTCTCGCTCTCTTGGTTTGAACTTCAATCTCATGCACTTTGTGAACACATGAAGAAAACAGTTGGATATATTCATCGGTCTAAATCTTGATTCTACATTCCCGCTCTCCCGACGCGTGTTTTATTTTGTCCTTCATTTGACAGAATCGTGGGAAGGGGCCCGTCACTCAATGCGTGGCCTTGTGTGTAAGTGTCTGTGTGAGAGTCTACCAGTCTGTGTGTGCATATATATCCATGCCTTTTTTTGTTTTACCTGAACTTCCCTGTATTAGGCAGATAGTGGGAATAATTCCAGTGTCGGACCGTCACCTGTCATGTTGCTTCTTTCACACTGTGGTGGTTTTACGAGAGAGTCGGTTCTGCAGTTTCCACAGTAAGGACCTTGTTGAAAAAGCACTTTTCTGAGCACTTTGAAGGCACATTTTAAATTGGAGCTGCCATGACATGACAGCCACCGTTCACTTTATTGTCAGTCCACCCTACTTTCTCTCACTCTGGGAGCACACCACTGACATCTATAGGAAGAAATGGGTATTGCAGCCATAACCTGACTTCCACTACTGCATGGGCGGAGCACCATTTTCCTTCTGTGGTTTGTGTGTGGTGTCAGATTCTCTTATTAGGTGCAATTGTTAAGATTTTTCATCACTGTATGTCAGGTCAAATTAACTTTAGAGCTCATAAAGTGTAAGAGTAAAACAGCAGTTTTAAATCAGATTCAAATCAATTGAGATTATATAGATTCAGGCTCTGCTCTTGCAGTTGATTAGATATGCAGTGAATAAAATGTCCTCTGAGGCTTTTTATTGTTGGAAGTAATTGGTGAACACTGTTCCAGGCCTCAGCATGCTGTCCCTCTTAGGACACCGCATCATACCTCTGAAAGGAAGACTCAAACTTGCTCTCTGTGCACTCAAAAAATATAATTTTGCAAGAGTTGTGACCACGACACCAGTCTGCCCCCGCTGTCACTGTTATGCCACCACATCCCCTAGTCATTCCTAGTCCAAGAGAGACACTTGGGTCTGGGAGAGACAGCAGACAGAACAGACAGTCCATTCATCCGTCTGCATGACTGCAACCGAGCATCGCAGAATTCCTCGGCCCGGCCTGCTGTCACCGTAGAAACCAGTGAGATGGGGCTCGAGGATAATTGCCGAGTGAGTCCTGATCGAAGCAGCTTATGAAGTGTGTGTGTGTGTGTGTGTGTGTGTTTGTTTCTGTGAGCTCGAGAAAGTGTGCACGCATGTGAACTTATGCGTGTTAATGTTAAGCAGATGCTCACCAGGGTCACTTATTCTGTCTGACACCTGAGTTGCATCTCTGCACGTCTCCCCAGACTGTCCTCTGCCCAAAGGGAGGGAAAAACAACAAACTTGTAACCAATCACTGAACTCCTAAAGGAGCTTTTATAAGTCAACACTACCTATTTACCGTGTGTGTGTGTGTGTGTGTATGTGTGTGATTAGGGGATAGAGGAGTTAAGAACGTGTGTTTGGTCGGGTGGGTTTGAGCGAACATGCTAGCAAGCTGTGCTTGGCAGACGGCCAGACACCCGTGTGATCCAAATAAACCTGAAGGAGAGGAATGCAGTTCTCCTTGCGGTCATTACCCCGCTGTGTAAACCCTGTTAGCTGGTCCAGATTACACACACTGATCCTCAGAGAGAGTGTGAGGGAGAGATTGGGGAGGGTTAGAGGGAGGGAAGACGGGCAGCAAACGGGTGAATGGGATCATTATTTGGGAGACGGAGGGAGGAAGGAGGGGTGACCACTGGTACTTGTGTGTGTGTGTGTTTGTGTGAACGCCGGCCAGTGGCGTTCCCTGTGTATATCAATGTGTTAATACTGAACTGACTGTGAGGCAGCCAAAGACTGTGGAAAAAAGGGTCGAGGGAGAGATAGGAAGCAAAGTGACAGTTTAGAAGAACAATTGAATTAAAAAAATGTGACTTTGGTTCAGCGATATGTGGCTGCATTGCTTTTCTTTTTCTTTTCTTTTTTTTGCAACAATGGTGACAGATGTCTGTTAAGTTAAAATGAGAAACAAGCAAAACTATATTCAAATGGTTGTTTATTGGTATGTTAGGGGGTTTAACACGTTGCCCTTTAGTCAGTGGTGATAGAAAAAAACAAAAAAAACTTTCTTTTTGTTTTATTTTAATAATTAAAAAATACAAAGCATTTTTTTTTTTTTTTAACAATTTCTTTGTGAACGATTGAGAGAGCAGCCCAGTATAGTGCATGATTTCTTCCCAACCAAGGAAGAGGGCTCCACCACTCTCACTATTTAAGAGATGATAAAAAAAATATAAAGAAATAATGGGGGAGGGGAGGGGGGTTGAAAATAATAAAAAAAGAAATGAAGTACTGTAAAGTGAAAAGATAACATCAAACAAAAAAAACTGTCATTATTTGCTGAGTATGGTAATTTGTCTCAATGGGAATGGTGTATACAGCAAGGCCTTATGTGATCTGTATCATAGTTAATAAATCAAATCTTGTAAAACTTCTGCTTCCTGTCTCTTTCTTTTTTACACATAAGTGATTAGTGACACATTGAACCGATGAGGAAATCCTGAGCAGTCTGCAGTTAATGTAATTCAGTCTTAATCAACTGTTAAATCTCAATTAACCTCAGACGAGCTCTGCTTATACATTGCTATTTATCAGTGTTATATGACAGCTCTGATCACTTCTCCTGTGAGGCAACACATCCAAATTCCAAAACCCACTAGTAAAATCAGAAGTGTGCATTGAGGGCAGGTACAGTGATGGTCTACATGTGGTTCCCAACCTGTTCTGGCTTGTGTCAGCATAAAGCAGAGAGACGTCTGCTTGCAACCCGTCAGCGGCGGCCACATGCGTCTACAGTTTGTGACCGGTTCTACCAAAAGTGTGAGTTTGTCCTTGTTTTGTTGTTTTACTTTTTAAAAGGTTTAGAGACTCAAAAGAGGTAAAATTATCTCTTTAAGGAAAATAAAGATTCATTTAAATTCTCATCAAATAAAATGTGTAACAAGTAGACTATATTTACCCTGTTAATCATCTTACAACCCTTCGGATTCATCTTGCAGCCCCCTGTGGCTTGGAACCACCTACAGGATAACTGGAAAAAGTTTAATAGTAAGAGGTTTGATGTCAAGAATTGCTGAAAAGAAAAGTCATATGAAACCGTATAATCAGTATATATATATATATATATTTTTAAATTGAGACATTCCATATATGTTATACAGTGGATTGTGATTTTGTAAACTAATTAGCTTGATAAATTAGAAGTCTGTTCCTGCGCACATCAAACAAAGGCAGATTCTATCGTCACCTGAACTCCTTGCTAAGTCACTTATTAAGATACTTGACATTCATTTTGCAGATGTTTTGTCCAAAGTGAGAGCAGTCTGGTGCTCCGTGTGGACGGGAGGAATCTGGTACAAACCTTATGATTAATGGCCACTCTGCTCTACTAACAGAGGTACAGCTGCTTTGGAGGAGCAAAACAACTTATCTATTACAGAGACGGGCCTACTCACACACACACACTTACTAAATAAATCACTACAAGAAAAGTGGGTAAAGAGCAATTTCCATAAACTCTTGTTTGTCATTTTATCAGTTTGTGGAACACTGTTGCCAGTTAAGTAGCAGTTATAAGACGCGTGTATATTCATTTATAAGTCTTCAAAAGTTTAGTTTCACATAGAATGCTTTCATCTTTCCACCACAGTTTTTTGTCTTCGTTTTCTCTGCACACTGTTGAAGGGCCACTAAAGCCACCCAGGGGACCAGATGGGATCACAGCGGCCCACGGGACCCTCCTGTGCCATTTTCAGGGACGATGTAGCCTAAGGACTCGGGTCCCTGTGAGGGCGATGTGAAGGCCTCACTGCCATTTCATGGTGCCCTCATCTGACCTTTTCATTGAGTCAAACAAAAGGAAATCCATGTCCATGACCTTTGTGGTCCATCTCTCCATTCTGGCTCAGGAAGAAAAAAAAACAAAAAAAAAAAGGACGACGAGAGAACGGCTGATTGGGAATGAAAAGGGCAGGCCCGTGTGCACACAGGACACACAACCCTTGAACTCTAACCTTTAAGAAGTGTCACGAGGGAGAGAGTGGTGTGGGATTTGATTGGAAGTCAAATATGGGGATTGTCAACATTTACTTTACTGGCCAGTGTAGGGATGTAGCCACTCAGGGTTGACAGGAATGGCATAATTAGTAGCTAATTTGAGGGGAAATAACAAAATGAGACAAAAGAATAAAGCTTTTAGAGCTAGAGCTTGTTCCCATTTCAGCCACTTAACTAAATCACAATTATCTCATATTCCCTTTTTATTCTTAAATCAAATGTCTTCACATGCATTTTGCTGCTTTTCCTTGTGCGTACACAAAGACACCACTGGGAGGCTGCCTTGTCCCACACTACCCATCAACCAGCGCGCTGCTGTACCCGGGTAACGGATGGTAAACGCGGGAGGAGCGTGGACCTAATTGCTTGGGTTTAAGGTTTTGGACGTCAACAGTGGGACGAGGCTTTAATCCAGCGCTCACAGTCAGACGAATGCGTGAGACGAGCGTCTGAAGACGTTTCTCATTGATGTCGAGCTCCACTTCCCCTCTCTCACAGTTTGAAGTTGGAGGAAATAGGTTTGACTAAACTCCACAGATCGTGTGGGGAGAGAAAGGGGGAGGAGGAGGTGGTGCACGGCGAAGTAAGCCGCGGAATAAAGACAAAGAACTTAATTTCAAGCTATTGTTGCTCTGTATTAGAGGCGTGATGTGGTTATTTAGTGCGAGGCACGACCACAAAAAAACAGAAAAAAAAGAAAAAGTTCTGAGGTAGACAGAGAGGAGGAGGAGGAAGGGGACATATACGGAGAAAAAGAGACTGGTCTTATGATGAGTCGAGGCACGTATCTCCGCTCAACCGTGTCTTTCTGGGCTTCGAGCTTCGCAGCTGCGGCGGCGGGTATTGAATTCAGATGCGGCCTGCCTCCCCGGCTCTGCGCCGCTACAGGTGGAAATGCTCTTATCAATACAGCCTGACTGCGGGCCGATCCGTCTCATTGATGATTTTAGGTGCCCCTGCCCTCCCTCGCCCATTGATTAATGTCTGGGTCACAGTGGTATTTCCATATTGATGGCTCGATTGATGACGGCGCTCCAGGAACAAGCCTTATTGACCAGCTGGGAAGTGATACGTTTCAAACTATTTGGCGGATGTATTTATGCATAATGGGCATAACGAGTTGTAGATACATGCGGCGGAGGCACAGGAGAACTAGGTGAAAGATGAAGTGCATGTCATGATGGAGGCTGCAACACATACTCTACGTGCAAATTCAGCAATGCTCTGTATTCTGTGATCAATATTCCTATAATAACAACAAGCTGTTATACTACCATCAATACTTATGTAGACAATAGCAGGACTACAAATTATAACTGGGTACAATATAGTGTGCCGATTTTGTGCTTTATAGCTTTCTTTATTTGTATAAGATGATCAAATAAGATCAAACTGTATTGATCACCAGGAGGAAAATCAAGTATTACAGACAACATCCGAGCCATAAGCTTAAATAATAGATCAAAGTTAGAAAGCTATAGCCTATGGTGTGCATGCTTGTAATATACTCTATGTGCAATGTTTCTTCAAATTTAACTGACTGTAAACTTTTTGTCCTTAAGGTCAGTTGGTCCAAACAGGAGGAGACAGGACCCCCTGGTGTATCAAACCGAGGGGTCGTGAGATGATCAAGGAGGTAGGAAAAAAATAAACACAACTCACACAATTATGCTTATTTCTCCTTTTCCACAAATCTATTTATTTTTACCATCTCCAGGAGTCCAAACACCATTCAACTCAATCTGAGTGGGGAATAATGCAATCTGCTCATGTTGTAGCTCATAGACATCTGCACCATGTGACGAGGGTTGCTGGGGATGTTGAAGGGGTTTAATAATGGTGCGTTAAGGTTGCAAAATTTGAGTAACAACTTTTTTTTAACATACCACATGAAAGAAGGATTTAAAGTAACTAAATCATTATTAAACACACGGCAGCATTTGTCAGCTACAAATTCGGGACTGTAAAAAAAACCGACCTGGCATTCACTACTTTGGTAAAGGAGCTTTCAAAGCAACATGACACAGCTAACAAAGTTTGAAATAAGTCAAATGATCTGTGCCCAACCTGCAGGTGCATCGTGAGGACCAGTGTTGAAAGTCATTACAACTATATACCAAAGTTAGAAAAAAACAACAACTCATAAGGATACAGTATGATGAACTTGCAGTAGTGTGCAGGGGTTTTCCAAGGGCTGCTAATTGGCGTGCAACCTAATGTGACCTATGTAGCCGTGTTTGCAATGGTGATTTACTTATTTTAAAGTTGTTTTGTGAGGTGTTTACATGGTTTTTGCCAGCCCCTTACTGCTATGTGATCATATTGCTGTAATATTTCCACGCTATCTTTCTAAAAGTGGCTAGTTTTTTGCTTCATCAGGTCAAGTGCGCACACTGCATAATGCAGAACAACTCCACAGAGAGCCCAGAGTTATGAACCCAATTTTGCAGACACCCTAATTTAAAGGACAGGGAGACAACAACATGATTCGGTGGGACTTGTTCTGCTTGTTGTGGAGATTACTTTGGAGGCAGAGGGCATTGTGTGGAGATGATAGTCAGTGGGAAAAAAATAAAGCGTTGGAACAGAACTGATCCCACTTTACGCTTTTAGGGTCAGTGGTCTAAATGGGAGCTCGGCCTCCAGGTCCCCGTGACATGGATCAGGGGCCCCAACGTATATCTGCTGATTACATCTCCTGAAGTGGAAAAAATGCAAATAATAAATGGATGAGCAACGTGCTTGTTTTTTTGCTTGATTAATTATGCCGTTTAATTCCAGATCCACCACGCCGCTCCACCGTATAATTTCCCAGTGGTCTTGGCTGTTTCTTCTCTCACATGAGCTCTCTTCTTTTTTTTTTCTTTTCCTCATTGCAAAATGAATCATGGATCCAACCGTCTGTACCCGGGGGAAAGCGGCGAGCTGGCGAACGGGCTGACCAATCATGAGCATCAGAGGCAGACTCGCAGACGGAGGGAGCCTTTTGTTGTGTGTTGCAATCATCAAGTTAGAAGACAACTACCGATTTGGTCTGAAGAAAATTAAAAAAATAATGGAGCGTAAGGAGGCAAAATAACCAACTTCATCTGTGTTTATCAGTCTGTTTTCTCTCTTGTGTTACATACAATCTCTTTGCTCCGCAGTTTATCCAATGAGACTGGCCAGTGTTTGTCTGAGTGGGTGGCTGAGTCTCAGCGCCATTCATAATTTCAACTGGGACCATGACAGCTCCTCTATTCCCAGCCTGACCAACCCTCTCTCAGCCTCCTGACAGTTCCAGGTTAGCCTCTCTCTTCCTCTCCCCTGGTCCTCCTCTTTTCTCTCCTCCAGCTTTCCTCTCCGGCTCTCTCAGGGGCCCCACTGAGAATACTG